TATATATATAAAAGCCTTAAATTTTGTTTTTATAAGTCGACCTCTAATCAAAGACATAAAGGTTATTTTACACATATTTCACTCCATTGTAGGTTAATTCTATGAGATTATTTTGAAAATAAAAGAGATATCCTTTTGAATTGTCTGTTCAAGGATTTCTACGTAGTCAACGAAAGTTGGCGTGTGCGAAAGTTGAACATGAAATATAACACGTATGACATATTTTCATTATAATTGTTCATAAAAGCTGTATTTTTGAAATTTTTCGGAAAACAACTCGTAAAACGCATCACACGTGATTTGCGAATGGCTCTTGTTAAATAGCAGCAAAATCACCAAATATTTGTTAAGATTGCTTGGTCATTATTAAACCATCTATTAAGGCGTTAAAACTTAATTGCAGTTTTAACTTTCTTTTTTTGATCACTCATCTTGTTTCTGCGTCGAATTTAAATCCGGAAAATAAGAAATGGGTGGCGATATCACGTATGGATATATTCGCTGGGAAAGCTTGTTTATTGCCTGTTCGTTATGAAATCATAGCCGATGTCGGTTTGCATTTCCTCCTACACGTGTTCAAGTTGAAATTTTACTTTTTTCGCAGAATTATTTAGAAGACCTTCAGAAATAGTTAAATACTAGTTTTGGACGTGTTTTTTCTTTTTCGTTTCTTCATTTCTTAGGAATTAACTTTACTGGTACTTAATTTAGTGTTGAATTATAGGGGTTTCCGGTTCAGTTTTATGGGTAAAACCGATCCGTTGAAATTATTTTCGCGAACGGGAAATATAACTTCATTGAATCGAATAATGAACTAAATTAGTTAGTAATCGTTTATAGAGTTCTTGTTTCATAAATTTTTCTGAATTTTACGTTGATATATTTGATGATAACTCTGTCTGTTGGTTTTTTTTTTGTTGAATATTTCTGATTATGAAATATTTATAATTATCTATGATTCTTAATAAGTTTCATTAATTTGCATTTCTGCGTAGACTTTCCCAGAAAATAAGTTTGCGGATTAGATAAAAATTGCTATTTTTTTTTAAATAGCTCTTGGGATTTCTCTAAATTTGTTCACAAAACATAGCGACAGGTGCGTGTGCATTAACAATCCAAATTTTTTGCATTGATTTGCTAATCTTACAAACTAAAAAAAGCAACAAACAAGCAAAAACAAGAAACAGTTTTAATTTAGTCCCGCAGTGGACAGATTGTAAAGACACGGTTCCCAGCAGATCACCGAAGTCAAGCATCACTGACTACGGTCAGTGTGCGGGTGGGTGACCACTTGGATCAGTCTGCGTAGGGACCGAGGGTGTGCGGTATTGGTCCTCGTTAAACTGTGCTACCGTAAAGTGCTTGACTTCGCGCTGGTCGTCGGGCTACCGAAGCGGGGGTGCCATCTCCCCCGCAGAGGATCAAAATTGTGATGGCATGTCTTCGGATCATCCTCCGGGATGTTTCCCAGACCGTCGCCATTAGCCCATTGTGCAGCTCTAGTGCGACGTAAATTAACAACAACAGTTCTAATTTAAGTTTTATTATTTTTAAACAAATTGTTTTGTAAAAATTACTTGTTTTGAACAAAAAATTTTAATAAAAGAGTTAAAATTTAATAAAAGAGTTAAATAAGGGAATTTTTATATAAAATCTCTTCCAAAAGGGAAAAAACTTAGAAGAGCATCGTGTAAAATATATATATTATACACTTGAAGTTCCCTAATAAAGGGGATTTTTTCATTTATAAACTACATTTGTAGATATATATAATAATTATAAAGGATATTAAGTGATATTTAATGATATTTTTAATATTTAATGATAATCTTTCCCATAAGAATTAACAGCTCTTACTATAATCTTTTTAATTCATATACATAAATGTTCAATAATTTTTCCGTAGAAATTGCTATTGAATTTTAAAAAAAATTCTCTTATCGATTTTTCTTATCGCATAAATTTATTTACGAAAAAATATCCCTAATTTTTATATGGGAATGTTGACTGCTGCGGGTCACTTAAGTGTTAGTGAAATTATATGGAATTTTTACATGTCGAGTTTGTGACTTGTCGTGTTTATACAATAAAGTCATAACTTTTTGTGTCCATGAGCAGTTAAGCAAACAATTCTTTTGCTTGGTTGACAGAAGGGGTTGAAGGATTCGTGTGCATACATTGTTGCATAACGCACAAAGGGTGATGAGAGTGCGTGAGAGAGGCAATTAGAAGCGCGCGTTTCCGGATTTCTGCGGATGCGGCGTTTAAATATTTTATTTTTATCTTTCATTTTTTTTTCTCTATCGTGTTTTGTTATCCTTCTTTGTTGAAGTAAACACGCTTCGTTTTTTGGTGGTGCTCAATGAATTTCCGTTTTGCTTCTGACCCACACTACTGGGTGGTTGTGAAATTGCCATTGCGCTTTTTTTTTATGACGTACTTCTGATAGACTTGTGACTTTTGGACGCTCGATTATGTTTTCATTGATGGATAGATGGCTCTTACTCCATTCAGAAAAACCGATTGCAAAATCTTGAAGTTTTTCTTGGAATTTGTCTTTTGTTTGACGCATTGCACTCATTATTACTGACGAGATATCTTGAAGCGGCGTATTTTATTTTCATTCACAAAAGTGGCCAAAATTTTTTAGCTTACTCCCAGACGCCATTAATCCTTTGACGCAGATGGGACGACGTAGTCCCCTTTATATATATAGATAGATAGAGAGAGATAAA